CACCACCTTGTGGTGTGAACTTGCGAGTTCAACTCCTACAAATAGGAGTTTGATACTTGTGGTGTTTATTCCTCCTCCCGTATGGGAGTTGTATGCAGTAGTTACTTATTTCTTCCCATGTTTGGCTTAATTATGGTTTCTGTTTATTTCTTCCCAAGTTTTTAGGCTAATGGTGGTTTGCTGGGTTTCGTGATTGTTAGCTTTCTAGCTATTGTTGGGCTAGTGGTCAGTTTAATGTAATATTTCTTATATTTGTAATTACTCTTCTACCGATTGACAAGCAAAGTGACAAATTGAAGTCAAAATCTTATTTGAATTAATTGCATGAAATTTCCCTCTTCTTGAATGCACTCTGCTTTTGTTTACATACGCATTAGTCCCATTTGGATTATTGCTAATTTTGTTAATTTATGCATATATTACATGAAGCATCCTGATATGCTTATATGATGTCCAAACAATTAGATTGTATATGGACAGCTAAAACTATAGATTTTTTGTACATGTGAGATCGAACAAATAGTAGGATAGGAACCCATATACTGGAGGATTAGGAAATTCCTTTATGCAAACATAATATTATGCGAGTGCAGTTAAAACTCATACTTTGCCATTGCTTGTGGCCATATGTTGTGCTTCTGAGTTGCAGGGCAGGAAACAGAAAAGCCTCTCAGTAATTTTTGGAGTTTACAATAGCATTACCAAGTCAGACACAAGGGGCTTTTATGCAAGGTAGACAGATTCTAGATGTGGTTCTGGTGGCAAACGAGGTGGCAGAGGAGTGTCGGAAGTCGGGGAAGGTAGGCATTGTGTTTAAGGCATATTTTGAGAAAGCGTATGATCATGTAGATTGGCATTTTTTGGATTTCGCGATGAACAAGAAAGGGTACGGTGCGAGATGGAGATCTTGGATTAGAGGTTTATTTCGTGTCTTGTAATATGTCGGTCATAGTTAATGGTAAACCAGGGATGTGTTTTAAGGCCTCGCGAGGGTTGAGACAGGGAGACCCTTTATCTCATTTTCTATTCATTTTGGTAGTGGATGTGTTAGGTAGGATGGTTGACAGAGCTAAAGATGTAGGCTTACTGTAGACACCCCATTTTTGACCGTCCTCAAGACTTGGACGTCACCATTTGAACACTCGGTGATTATCCATGTTTGTGTTCGTTTGGAGTTCCCGGAGCCTCGGCTCGCGCGCCTTGCCTCAGATCTCCGAACACCGACCGTTTAGTGTCTGGTTTTGCACCAAAACACTGACATCTGCCTTTGAGAGGTAGGGTAGGGCTTGTAGACCATCCCACCCACCACCGGCAGTGGCTAGAGGCCACCGGCTGGTTTTTGCTGCCACCGGCAATGTATATTGCCGGCTGGCACTATTTGTTGCCGGTTAGCACTTTTTAGTGCCAGCCGGCACTCTTTTTTGCCAAAAATGGCATTTTTGGCCAGCCGACTACTGTGCATCTGCTTTTGCAGATATTTTAAGACAGCTGTCTTGCTTTTGGCTCCCCTCCATACACGTGTATGGAGGGATCTCTCTCTTGGAAGCTTGTCTTGTAAGCTTTACAAGACAAAAGCTTCTATATAGAGAGGGGCTGGTCTCTTGGCTTGGGAGGTTAGACACTGAGAGATATTTGAGAGCTTATAACAGCCATTGTTAGGGTTTGAGTTCTAGGGTTAGGGTTAGATACACATCCTATCTCTCTTTCCCTCTCTTTTGTGCTCTAGGTGTTTTGTGTCTTACTATTGCACACAACACCTAGTGTTTCACCTTTGTCTAGCTTTTGAGGTTCTAAGGGACTGATTTTAGTATTTTGGTGTGGATTCAAGCCAAGGAAGGCCATTGGAGCATCATTGTTGAAGAAGGCTTCAAGGGTAAGAATCTCACCCCTTTATTCCCCATTTTTGCATCTTATTTCTACCTGTCTTAAATTCATTTTTGAGCTTGGTGTATAATACAAAAAAGTTCTGTTTTTAGACCTCTGATTGTTTTATTAAGAGTGTTTTTTGGTTTGGGGGTGCTTGACCCCTCTCAGGCCTTGAAAGGCCTTGTTTTGGGCCATTTTGTGCTAGCTCCGGGCTTTTGGTGTTGGGGTCTCTTCACCACTGAAATCTTGAGGGATTTCAGTGGTGAAGGTGATGCCTTGAAGTCCCAAGAAGGAGAGGGCCACCCCCTCTCCTTGTTGTCCTTGAAAAGGGCATGTTTTGGCCTCTAAAGGGAGCCTATGTTTGAGTGTGTGTTGAGCATGTATAGGCTGCTTTTCATGCTTATATTTCCATAATATAACATGATTTTAAATTGGTTTTGATACTCCATGCATGCTTAGCATAGTTGCCATGTAATGTCTTGTGATCCCTTAACATGCCTCAGGTTGTGTGCCTTTGTTTCTAGCATGTTTTAGGCTTATATTTGTGAAAATTTTGTGCTTATCTTGACATGTTTTAGGTCTGTCCATAAGTGTTTGGGTTGATTTTGGCATGCATCATATAGCCTCTTTGCATTTTGGCTTGTTAGCCTTAAGTATGTGCATGTATAGCATGACATCTTTGCATTGATTTGGTAATTTGGGGCCACCCTACATGTTATTTCAGTCCCAATTTCATGCTTGCATGACTACCTTGCATTCATCTTTAATGCCTCATAAGCTTGTGTAGCAATGCTCCATGTTTTGGTGTTTATGCATGCCTTTGTTTTTGAGTCATTTGGATGCCATCTAAGTGATCCTTAGGCCTTGTATTAATGTCCTAAAACTCTGTTTTTGGTCAATAAGTTCATGCCATGTTTGGTTTTGCTAAGTGTAATTCAATACTCCATTGGTTTGCTTTGAGCACTTAGGCCATTTGTTGCATGCTTGGCTTGATTTATTGCTTGGTTTGGCACCATGTTTTAGCATGATTTTAGAGCTCATGATGCATGCTAATTTGTCCATGATTGTCCCTTTCAAGTGTGCTTGAGGGTTGTCTAATTTGTGCCTAAGTGTTGGGCCTTAACATGTGTATGTGTGTATATGTGTTTTGGTCTCTTCTTTTGGTCGTTTTAGCCACTGTTTTGGGCCTTTTTAGAGCCGCCCAAATCAGGCTTTAGACCACCTTTTCATTGGCTAGCATTGCCTCATGTTTGCTTGCATGCTTGCATAAGTGTATCGCCATGCCATGTTGCATCCTTAGCTTGCATGCCTAGGTTGCATTGCATTTTGCATGCATGCCTTGTTCCTTGACTTAGTGATAGGAATTGGGCCTTAGTTGTTTGATTGGTTTGCATTTCATTTGACATGAAAATTGCATACTTGATTCTTTGGGCCATCATGCATGGAAATGCGTGATTGGTGGTCCGAGAATCGAGATACATGCCCCTTTGAGTCACTACCATGATAAGGGACATGGTTGGTGCATATATGCCTTGAATTGTGCTGCCATGCTTTGCCTTGCCCTCTGTTGCTGTCATTTGCAAATTCTGCAGGAAAACTCTGCCGACCGGCAGTGTAAGGTGCCGACCGGCAATAATTTATCTGCCGATAGCTTCATTTTGTGCCCGTGACCACATCCCACTGCCGGTGGCAATTCCATGCAGCCGGTGATGTCTCCCAGCATCTAAGGAAGCAGTCCTGAGGTTTTGATAACCTCCAGAGGAGTAAAAGAAGGAAAACAGAGGCAGCCTATGCATGACGGCGCATTTCCGAGCGGGACCGGGCATGCATTGCATTGAGCCCTCCTCCCGAGGCGATTTTCCTGTTTTCTTAAGTTTTAGTTAATTTGCTTAGTTGATTAGGTAATTTGTAATATTAATTAGCTTGCGTAGTTGGAAATTATATATATATATAGAAAACTGATAAACAAAAAAGAAAAAGAGGGGGGGAATTAGTAACCTAATTTTTTTTCATTACTGCCCAGTATCTCTCCCCCAAAAATTGATGACAAAATAATTTCCTCGCCAAAAGTCTTAAAATATTAAAAATTATTGGCGACGAAAATATATTCTTCATCAAATGATCTCAAAATATTTAAAATTAAGTTTTTTTTTTAAAAAAAAATATTTAAAATTATTGATGACGAAAATGTATTCCTCGTATTTTTGCATGTGATGCATTAGCCATTTTTTTTTTTAACATGAACTAGGACATGCACATTTGCAGTAGTAATTTATGTTTTGGCACGGAGTACAATGTAAGTGGTTATGCTTTAGCATCCAATATGCGTGTGAATGTTGCCATAATAGTATGCTTGCCATGCGGCTAAGTGCTTACATGAGATAAACTGCTTGAATGCCTGTGGGTGGAGGTCAAATTGCTTAAATTGGGATAATGCGTTAAAACTGCGATTTTTAAGCCCACTAGATAGTGGCAAAACCATCTTTTCCAAAAGCCCACTTGAAGGTGGCAAAACCTGCATTTTAGCCTACTTACGAGTAGCAAACCATTTTCAAAACGAACATAAAATGTTTTATTTCCAATTTGGGCGATTCGGTCTATACTTGTTTGCCGCGCGCATAACATAGTAATGCTAGGCTAATAATTGGAATAAGAACACATAACGTTTTCAAAACTGGATATCACAGTTAGTAGAGGCCGGTCTTCGTACCGGGCGAAAGGGGGTGCTCATAGCTGACCTTCCCCGATCGTACCCAAGCTCCCGAGCCGAGACAACTCCGGTGATGACGGACATGTGGCCTTCGGCACCGAGTCAGGGTTTCCTAAATTTTCCCATTTTAAAAATATTTAGGTGGCGACTCTGTATCTGGCAAAGCAGTCCATGTTTGGCACTACTTTTTCAAAAATCTGTTTCTCAAAACGATTTGCCAGATTTAGACTCTTTGGTTCAGATTAAGAACCGCGACAACAAAAATCGCGAGTCCGAACTGTAGTAGCATGAGGCCCCCCCTCCGCGGGCGCGTCTACACTTACAGGTTGGTAGAGATAGGATTAGCGTGTCGCATCTGCAATTTGTGGATAACACTATTTTCTTCTCTACGGGGGACGAGTTCCAACTAGCAAACCTTTTTTCAATGGTAAGGCTTTTTGGGGCAATTTCAAGGCTTAAGGTTAACTTAGAAAAGAGTAGGGTAGCGGGTATTAATGTTGATTCAAGACTGATTCAAAATGTTGCTGATTTACTTGGATGTGGGATTGACACATTTCTTATGAAGTATTTAGGCCTCCCACTGGGAGGTAACCCAAGAGGTGAAATGTTTTGGAATCCAGTGATGGAAAGGATAGGTAAGAGGTTAGAAGGGTGGAATAGGGCCTTATTGTCCCATGGGGGTGGGTATACTTTGGTTAAGACAGTGCTAAGTGGGATTCCAATTTATTTCATGTCTTTGTTCGAGATTTCAGTCAAGGTAGCAAAATCCATAGAAAAGTTAATGAGGGATTTTCTGTGGGAAGGGAAGGATGAGGGAAGGATGAAGAAAAGAAGGATCATTTGGTGAAATGGAAAACGGTGTCATTACCAAAGGAGAAAGGGGGCTTGGTAGTTGGTAATTTATTGGCTAGAAACATGGCTTTGTTGGGCAAGTGGTTATGGAGATTCCCAATTGAGCGTGGTTCATTATGGCATGTAGCTATCAAAAGTAAATATGGGTTACATGTTAATGGTAGAGACTCTCAGGTGGTTTCTAGGGGTAATGGGCGTGCTCCGTGGAAGTCTATTTCTCATATTTATCCAATTTTGTCCCAATTCATTTCTGTGAGGGTGGGTAAAGGGGACACGGTCAAATTTTGGGAGGATGTTTGGGTGGGTTTTTTGTCCTTTGCTGAGTCCTATCCACTTCTGCATAGAGTTTCTCAATCTCATAATTGTTCTATTGCATCTGTGGCTATTTCTTCATTGGCTCCTTGTTCGTGAAATTTTAATTTTTTCCGAAACCTTCATAATAAGGAAGTTCCCGAGTTGATATCTTTATTGTCAAGGCTTGAAAATGTTTCTTTGTCTCTAAATTTGGAGGATTAATGGTTTTGGAATGTTCATTCATCGGGCTCTTTTACTTGTAAATCCTTTCTGGACAAAATCATTGATATTCCGCATGTACCTCAGTTTTTGTTTCACAAAAGGATTTGGAAGGCTTGTGCTCCTCTTAAGGTGAAAGTGGTCATGTGGATCTTGGTTCATGGGGGCACTTTGACAAATGATTCATTGCAAAAGAGGAGACCTTCATGGTATCTTAATCCTTAATGGTGCATAATGTGTTGCAAAAGTGGAGAATCTTTGGATCATCTTTTTTTGCATTGTTCGGTGGCAAGGCTTTTGTGGAATAGGGTGTTTGGTTTGGGCAATGTACAGTGGGTGGCTCTTAAAGGAGTTGCTCAAATGCTATTGATGTAGGCCGAAAGGTACCACATTGAGGCCACTTAGGTTACATTTTTAGTCTTTCAATTTTGTTTATTTGGTGGAGATGATGTGCTTCGTGCACTTGTACAGATTTGGCAGGAAATATGAAAATTCAATCAAAAAGGGTGCAAAAGCAGATCCCCCGTACGAGAAGTGAAGAATCCGAGCCAGCCAGACCACTGTACGTGCAGCCAAGCTTCACCGCACGTGCGGCCCACCACCACTTGAGCGGCCCATAGAGGCGCTCGAGCAGCCCACCTAGGGACGCGTGCACAGAATTTTTGGTCTATTTTGCTGAGAATAAAAGGAAGAAAAATAACCAAACCTAGGGTTCAAAAATTAATTCAGAGAAAATGGGGGCTAGGGTTCTAAAGAGGTGATTTTCTCCTAAAGCTTGAAAGACACTTCCATGGGGGTTTCTTCCTCATCTTCTTCCTCTTCCCACTCCTCTATGAGTGGCTAGTCGTCTTTTCTAGGGTTTTGATGAAACCCTAGCCATGTAATTGGATTTTTCATAAGCTTTAATTGTGAATTGGTTTGAATGGATGTATGGATGATTTAGAAGTTTTTAATAATTGTTTCTTTCATCTCTTCAAGCATTTTACTCTCTATGATTTTTTTAATTCTTTCCATACATTAGTTTTCTTTGTGTTTGTATTCAAAGTACGAGACGAGTCATGCTATGAAAGACGAGTTGTGTTGCTACCATAGTTTAGAGCAAACGACTTGTACTACTCGGGATGATTCGAGCCTGTACATTGAATGCGACAACCCTCTTGATCAATATTTCAAACTTGTAGTTGTGAAATATTGGTTATTTCAAACCGGATTGCAATTGATGGCCGATTTTAAATCTCGTTCATGTGGTTAGTGGTGAATTCTTTACCCTAGGATTTTTCCCAAAAATTAATATCTCAAACCCTAATTTTAATATTCAATTTAATTATTCAAGTTCATAATTCTTGTTTAGTCATGGCATCCTCAAATCTTTTTAACCAAAATTGATTTAGGAATTTAGCGATTAAATTAGTTTAATTTCACAATTGTCCCTGTGAATCGATACCTGGATTTGCCATTATTCTGATAGAATTTGGTATAGTTTTGTAATTTATATTTGGTGTGTTCAACGACCACCAAATTTGTGTTTAACTAATGTGTTGCAAAAGTGGAGAATCTTTGGATCATCTTTTTTTGCATTACAGTGGGTAGCTCCTAAAGGAGTTGCTCAAATGTACAGTGGGTAGCTCCTAAAGGAGTTGCTCAAATGCTATTATTTGATTTTCAAGTTTTTGGAAGGTCGAAAAGGGCTAAAGTTCTTTGGAGTTGTGTAGTCTTTGCAATCTCCTGGGTCATTTGGTTGGAGAGGAATAGGCGTATCTTCAAGGGGGAACTAGGCATAGATTATTCATGGGACAGAGTAAGATATTTGGTGTCTTTTTGGGCCTCGGTGAGTCTTGTGTTCCGAGGGATCCTCTTTTTTTGATTGCTTCAGATTGGGTGTCAGTTTGTTTTGTATAGTTTGTAGTTGGTTATCTTTTGGTTTGGTTGTCTTTTTGGATGTATTTTTTTCTTTTTCCTTGTTGAGGATGCCTTATCTTCTCTTCTTTTTGGTCATGAGCCTTAATAAAATTTAACTTTTCTGTTGCTAATAAAAAAAAATAGCATTACCAAGTCTTAGAGGACTTGGATCCAGCGAAGCAAATGTCAGGAGCACTGTGTCATGTTCTAATATAGCCATTTCTTGTTCATCCAAGGTTACCCATGCTTCTATTCCATCGCCACTTCTTGTTTCCATCAAAATGATAAGGTTCAAGAACACTGAACCCCCTGAACAACCAACACCACTAACACATAGAGGTTTTCCCTACCCAAAATCAGCCTCATAGAAACCAAGCTTACACCAGCTTGTGAAGCCAAAATAATCCACTCCTCCATCTTTGGAGCCCGGCCCTTCTATCATCTTGAGAGATTGGCAGATCACGTTAAACCGTTCATTGCCTCGTAGTTTCTTTATAAAGTCATTGTTAATTTTTGATATTTCTTCCCTCACCTGACCCACCAAGCCCTTTAATCCCAGCTGATCATGCCTAGCTGTGCATTGCGCACTTGCTATCCAAATGAGGTTTCCAATTGAATGTTCCGTCAAGGGCAGCATACTTCTCCTTTCCAAATTCACTTCATGGCTTAGCAGAGAAGGCTTTGGGAAACCACGAGTTTCTTCTAAGGCCGCCATAGTACACTTCCATATGAAAGCAAAGACAGCCTCAACTTGTGTTGGGTTCTGTACAGAATTGTTGGCTGTTTTCACCTTGAAGGTAGTGATAGCCGAGGCATCAAATGCAAATCTCCTTGTGGTACACTTTCCTATCTTGAATAAGGAACCCCACATGACAATTGATGAATCTCTAAGCCACAAATCATTTGTGGGGAAGAGGGAAGTTGCAATGAAATCAGGGTATACAACTTCTTTAGACCCACAAGCTATGGCAGACCAGCCTTTCACAAAGGTGCTCAGTGCAGCCCCATCAAGGATTTTATATGAAATGCACAGTCTAATAGCAATCCCACCACATTCAAATATGTTTACTTGAATGTTAGTCACAGGAGCTCCTGCTACTGACCCCTTGAAACTGGTTTCGCATGGAAGGAATAGATGTATCACCTGGAGATCTGGCTGGCATAGAAAGTCAGCAAGGCGACAATTAACTTCGGCCTCCACGTACTGAGCCCCTACATCAATGTAGTTGATGGTGAGGTCATCTTCAATCTTTTCTGCGAGTGGGTATAAGTGAGTTAAGGTTTCAGATAGTGATTTCTTCAACACTTGTAATCTTTTCAGGACTTGGAGATTGGTATCACCATCCTCAATAGGATAAAAGAAGACAAGCGGAGCATAAGGAGCAGGAATTACTTCAATTCAAAAATTGAATAAAGGTTCTAAGGTGATTGGGGTGTTGGTGAAGATGGCTTGATGCTCTCTCTGGGAACAACTTTAACTTCCATCATCATTTGATATCAGGTTTGAAGTTCATGGAAGTACAGCTGGTTAGATCTGATAAATGTTTATATATATGCACACAATGCACACACTCAAGTGCAATAAGATCCAGATCTCTTTTAGATGCTTTGGAATTTGTCTTGTTTGTATTTTTAAAGAAAGGAATCCTTCTAGACAAGGTGCATGATTACTTGAATTTGTACACATTGGAAGCAGTCCCATTCCAATCTTAACATATAGTAGTTGAGAATCTTTAGATTAGTTTCAAGACATTCTCAGTAAGGTCCCATCCACTGAACTTATTTAATGAATTGTTTTTCGAAAACTATTTTTGGGCAGTGTTATATGAACTCTTCTATTTTTTCCATAGTAACTGTGTCCTCCAAGAGCTGACATGGGTAACGGTGTAAGATATTTGTCCGACACTTATACCCAATTTGGACACATGGATCCTCTAATTTTATAGATATCTAAAAAAATGAAGCTCACATTTGCAAGTAAAAAAATATTCTTACCTATCATAAAGATGCGAGATTGAAATTTTATATTTTCCCTTGATCCTTTTTTAATTCTTGTAAATTTCCAAATAATTTGCATCATGATAAATGTTAGAAATTGGACGCCCATGTGGCATGACCCATCACCCTTTTGAACCTTATCCATGTAAGTTTGAATTTGAATTCAAAACCTATTTGGATAACCCACTCATGATATCTATATCTATCATATCAACTGATATGGATAGATGATATACTTAGCCTATATATCTGATACGATATATGGGATATGGGATGAATCAAATAACGTATGTTTTTTCTCATACTAACTCTCTCCCATTAAAATAACGATTGAACTTTTTGCACTGTAACTTGTGTGGGTGATACTCATATTGTGGTATCACTCCACTGCTGGGTGTTCGTTGTTCGCATTTATAAAGCACACGATTTACCCCAAAGATTCTTCGCGTCAGGTTCTATCACCTAAGGTATGTTCTGATAATTTTTACTTGCTGCATTATGCTTGTTTTACATTGGTATCAGAGCTTTAATGCGTATTTTCGTGCTTATTTTTATGCATTAAAATAGGTGTATAATTTTATATAAATATATACACGATATATGCATGAAAAAATTAATATTTTTCTAAACTTTCTCTGATCAACCTAAAATTTACATATGTTGTACTATATTTCATGTAGAATATATCTGCTAAATTTCATAAAATTCTAACGGTCAAATTTTGAGAAAAATGGAGATTTATATTTAATTTTTCATAAATTTTACTGCATGTTGGTCTTACATGCTTTGTTTTTATGTTATGAACATTACATATTTGGAATCCTTGTTTCGATACCTTCGAAACGGTATGTTATGGGCCTGATTCCGACATACGGTTGAGGAGAAAACTCAAACCCAAATTTGAGGCGAGACTTGAACAAAATGGGGAAGAAGACAAAATTGTTGCACGCTGATGTTAGCGTGACGTGCGCTGATGTCATCATGACACACAAGCAGCCGCCTGAGCAAAGCCACGAAAGGCAGCTGCGTTAAGACCCTGTTTGTTTTGTTTTAATTTTAAAACTACGTTAATTGCTTCTAAATTATTCGTTATAATTTTGATTGAAGCACGGCTTATACCGTTGGATTTGTAATTAATTTTTATACAAGATATTAAAGTTTCAGAATTTTATTAAAAATATAATATTTTTCATTAATGAAAAATTCAATATTTTTACGTTAAATTTCTCTTGGGGGAGCATGACTTGGATTCTGGACTTGAAATTTTTACAGTAGACTACTGTTATGTAATCTTATTTACTGGAATAATTTTTGTACTTTTTCAGATTCTGTAATATTTATTTCTGATTTTTTGTGTAATTATTAATTACTTGTAATTTTAGAAAATTGAAGAAATTATAGAAATATGTTATGCCATTATTTAAATATTGTATATAACATGTTAAGTTCTTTTAAATGATTAGAACTTATAGTATATTGTTATAGCATGATTTATTTATATTTGTGAATTTTAATTCCATGATTAAATATTCTAACATATGTTCTTTTATGAACTACATTGAGATATTATCATGTGGATTTAAAGATTTATCATGTTTTAGACATGCCATAGTTAGTGGGTGGTTGTTCGGTTGAGAGAAATCTTTGTAGATTTACTCCCGAAAACTAATATTTTGCGCATGAATTAAATTAAATTTTTGGATAATTGTCACCTGTGGCGCAAGAGATGATTACGAGCATAGCAGATTTTCGATCTTGCGACTTGTGTAATATTGTCACTATTTAATTTAGATTTTTTGCGGCAAAATTATATTATGCTAATCAAATTAATCCTAATGCGAATTTCTCTTTAAATTGATTTAGTTTATGGAAGTTAATTTGGCTGACCTAGACTCAGTAGAGATGTTCAAATGTGAACAATGTAATCCTTTTCTTTAGATGAGCAAAAATCTTGGAGACTTTAGGTCAAACCTTAATTAAGCCAAAATAAGGAAACATGACTCAAAGTCATCGTGATTTTGTTGCCTTGTTTGGCATAATAAAAATTGATGTGCGAGCTCTGGTTAGCGGCACGCTACATAGTTTTGATTGGTGACTTTTGGAGTTATGAAATTAGTAAGCCCTCAGTAGATCTGTATATGATCTTGACTACTGAGCTGCGCGGATTGACTTTGTAATTTGACTTGTAATGATGTTGCATCATTGGATAAAGTAACATTCAAGAGTCACGTCATCCAAGAAATGCGAGCTTAAATAAGTTAGTCATTAAGTGAAGACGAGTAGCCAGTATGAGCAGTGTTTTGCTCTTTACCCAACTATTGGGAGTGGATGGAGCAAAAAAATTTCACGCACTATAATAGTGTGCATTGAAGTATCACTTGAAGTTAAAAGATTAGCGCTTAGTAGCAGCAAAATCTATTAACACTAAGTGAAAAAATTAGCGCCGAGTAGCTGCAAAATCTATTAGTTTGTCTAAGTCTGGACACTTACTAATTCCCTAGTTAAGTGTGAGATATGATAAGGTGCTTCTTTGTATGGTTCCTTAGCTAGGCTAATGTTTTTGAATAACGTTTACCACTAAATGCAAACGTTGCAGCATAGTAATGAAAAGGTCAAGGCCGACAAGGTTATTATGACTTTAAGAATTTGACGCATGGCTCGTGAGAGCATTGTGTTGAATTAGACTCTTTAGCCTAATTCGTGCTTAAGTTACTTCGAGAGCTGTCATAGATTGATAGCTTATTCTCTCCTTCTTGTGGATAGTAGAATTTAATTACAAGTAACTATGAAGCGAGAAACAGAGATGGCAAGAGGAGTATCGTCATCTTTCAACTAGATGCAATAAAGTGTATGGAGAATAAAATTGACTTGAAGGTGCATGGGATTAGCACTTAATAGTTAAATTTGCGACTTACACGTACTTGATATCTCCATGACATCCTTTTATGATCTAGTGAATATGAATTAGCCGTCAGTCATTACCTAGTTAGGCCTAAACCTTTAAAACTTGTCTTCAAGACCTTACACATTAGGATGATTGGAATTAGTTTATGACATTGGTCATGAACCGGTGACTTATTATACTTAATCACATTAATGAGAAGATGACATGAATGGTTTGAGTAGGCCCTCTTGGGCCCACTCGCTTGTGACATTCTGCTCTCATGTGAATGTGTAACTTTGTTCGCAATGGTTGCGCACAAAGTAAGTAGGAAAGCCGCAGAAGGGCATTTGTATTGGCGCATTTAGTCTACTATGATATTTGTGACTGGATATGTGTAAGGGTATGATAGCTAGCCCCAAATCTTGACACATTTATAGATTACGATACGCATCTTAGTCAAGATTATTTGATCTCCCATAAGTCAAAAAGTTTTGAAATGATTTTTGACATTGCACATATGAGATCGAGATCAATTAGATAAGAGCTTTCGTGCTTTTAGTTTTGACCAAGTTGGCGAGTATCTATTTGAGTTATTTTTTAGAAAGCTCTGTGAAGAGAAATGGATGCTTAGTAAATTGATTGTTCCTAGTACTTAGCAACACAAGAGTGTAGTAGAGATAAGGAATTACGTATTGTTAATGTTATGTGGATGATGGCGCAAAATGTTTCCCAATTGGGAATTGCATTTTAGTTTGTTGCCTATATCCCTGACTAAGTGCCCTCCATATCAGATTTTACACTCCATTTGAGTAATAGGTTAGCGGAGAGTCATCTATGGGCGAGCTGTAACCATTAAGCAGCTTATCTTTATTTTACTTCTCATAAGGTTGCGAAGTTAAGACCTAGGGTTCTATAGCGCATTATTGTATGCTGTCTTGTAAAAACATAGGGTCATGTGGTGCATTATTGTATGCTTTCATGTAAACCCTCCGGGTCATGTGCATATAGGTAAGCAGCCTTGTGGTAGTGTAACTAAGTCACATAAAGTTTTCTTAGTAAATGTGATGTGAATAGAGTTTTGGAACTCTATAAGATAGAGAATTCTAAGCCTAGCGCTTTATGTAGCCTAGTTGAGAATTGAGAGAAATTTCCAATATCCTAAGGGCAATGGGAGCGATGTGCCTACTAGTGGATTACTCCATTAGAGAAGAATACTCTACATTTTTTGTTGCGTGGTAGCGAATATGAAAATTTTTCACGTCATCACTGGGTGATTGAGAGGGAAACATCCATGATTGCTTCGCAAGATGATAAAGAGCCTAGGATAATGCCAAAGGCTCTAGTCCCCTATTTTTAGAAAGTGAATCAACGTTGCGTAGTTTAAGACAAAGTCTTTGAGGATTAACCATTTCTATATTTTGGTTGACTTTCCATTATGACGCGAAACTATTCTAAAGTTATGCGCAATTTGGATAGTCATTGTTGAGGCATAAGGCTCGCTAGATACCGAAAAGTCTCACCATTGAGAAAAGTGTAGACCATGAGAAGACTTTGTCTTGGGGAGTGAGGTTATTTCGACTTAGGCTATGATTAACATAAGTTCGGAACATTGATTTGTGGACGTTGTGACCCAACTTCTCGTTGGAGAATTAGATAAGTAGATCTGTAGGGATTTACTTTCTGCTTTTATGGTGAAAAGTTAGGAGCGCAAAAAGGTTGCTAGTTCCAATAAATTTTTTACAGCCTAAAACAGTTATCCAAATAGTGGTTCTTAGATTTCGTCGAGCCATAATAGGCCAACGATGATCGATGAAAACCATTGAGGCATGATCAATGGTCCAAAAGAAGTTTTTCCTCACTTAGTCATTATGAGCCAAGAATTTATAAGGTAGTCACCACCTAGGGTGGGCGATCCTTTGCTTTAGATATGATGGACATGGGTGATGTAATTTATATACTCAGATGTACAATCCTTAGGGATTGTTTTGGAAGAA